TTTATGTTTTATAACTTCCTCTTGTTATGACTCTTTTATCCGCTTTTCGTATTTATATATTGTGGTTCAAATTACAGAAGTCTAATTTCAAAGACCACATTTGTTTCTTATTCTCCTTACTGTTTTGGGTGACACTTTCCTAGAGGAGAAGAGGACAAAAACAGCTTTATTTTGCCATTTTAAAACTGCAAGATTCCCTTACATGCTTTTGTGTTTCCAACAACCTAACAGAGTTCTTGGCACCTAACAGATATTCATTAACTACTTTGTTAATGAATGATTAGATGTAGTCAGAATACAGACTAAGCTGCCTTAACAAAAAATCCTCAAAATGCAATGGCTCAAACAAGATAAGTGCCTATTTATCTCTCGCAGAGCAGTCCACAGGTAAGAGGGTAGGTTATGAAGCAGTGTTGTTATTTCATTAGGTCAATAAGAAACCCAGGTTTCTTCTCTCTTGTTATTCTCCATTTATTCTACGGTTTTGTCATGGTCAAAACTGGCTAATCATTACACTCTGCATTCTAGCCCATGGAAAAAGGGCCAATCAACCTACAAGCAAGCCTACCAGTTGACAAGCTCCATACATACAATTATCATCTCGTAGTTCCTATGGGCCAGGAATCTGGGCCAACAAACATGTGAGCTTGGAAGCAGATCCTTCTCCAGCCAAAGTTCAGATGAGACTCTACCTCTGGCCAACTCCATGATTGCAGTCTGTGAGAGACCTTGATCCACAAAACCAGTTAAGCTGTGCACAGATTCCTGGCCCACAGAAACTGTGAGATAATAAGTGTACAGTATTTTAAGCCACTAAATTTGGGGTAAGTTGTTATGCATCAAACATAACTAATGCCATATCTTAACTTTCACTATTTAAAATAACTAATAAAATGAAAACTTTTACTGTACATTAAAGGCAAATACAATTTTAAAGTATAAAGCTAACATATTATTTTGACAATCTTTTGGATTTAATACCATTAAAGAAATAGTAAATATTAGACCTTTATTTTATATTTAAATCTAATTCCTATAATCTGGAATGATCTACTCAACAAGTTTACCTACATTGCTGGTAATATCTTTGTCCTGCACCTATTCAACCTATCTCTAGAATGCAGTTTTCTTTGAGATGTAAATGTTACTAATGTTGTGAGCACTCTGAGGGAAAGTGTGAGCCATATAATATCACAATGGAAAATGCTTTGATTTTAGACTAGAGAGAATAAAAAATTTGAAGGTTTTCCTTCTAAAGGAATCACTACATAAAGAAAAAAGGTAGCTTGTAGCAGAAAAATCAATATTAACACTTGTTGATTGTTTTTATACTTGCTTAAATGCCAATAAAAACATACTATAGACTAATGAAGTAAAATGACTCAAGTGGTTTGGAATGTACAGAAATCTAGACCAAATCTGAAGGGAGCCTTGGGCACTAAGCCCCATGCTCAGGTCTCTGTGCTAGCCCAAACTTAATTTATGCATTCATTTAAGTAACGAGCACTTACTGGAGTGCTGGACATAAAACAAGGAATAAGTCAGACATGGTCGCTGCCTCATGTAGCTCACAGTTTAGTTGGGAATATAAACAAATAAATAAGCAATGGAATCTAGTACACTGTTGCCATTTAGAGTATGCACAGGCTGCTGTGGTAGCACAAAGGAAAAACATTTAATTCAAGGTGGAAATGGAAGTGATAGTTTTATTAGGACAACATCTCGGCTGAAGTGATATCAAAACTTGGACCTGAAGGATGATCAGGAATTAATTATTTGGGGATGGTAAGGGAAAAGAATTCTGGGAGAGGGAATATCACCTATGAAGGCCCAGGAGCAAAAGAGAACCTGATATATTTGAGTGATTGGATTTTTAGTAGAGGGTAGTAGGTGTTTGGCTGGAGAGGATATGGGGAAGTGTGCAAAGGTCTTACTATGCAGGGCCTGGTAGGTAACATTGCAGAGTTTAGATTTTATTTGAGGGAAAAAAAAAGGGATGCACAAAACTATTGAAGAGTTTTAAGAAGAAGAGTGCAATAATCTCACTCTTCCATAACTAACATAATGTTCTTAACAACTTGTTTGGTTTCTAAAATATTAATTTTCCCAAGATGTTAAAAAGTATATAGAAACATACAAATTTTTTATATACTAGCAATAACCATAGCTGAAAAAGAATCCCTCTCACAACATAAAACTACAAAATATCCATGAATTACCTTAATAAGAAATATACAGAACTATATAAGAAACCATAAAATTTTGATAAAGGATATAAAAGAATATCAGAAGAAATAATGTTCTTGGATGTGAAGACTCAATATTATTAAAATAATTTTTTCAAGTTAATCTCTAAATTTAATGCAATTCTAATAAAAATCCCAATTAATTTTTCAGGAGTATTTGATAAATTGGTTATACAGTTCATCTGGAAGATATATAATACTACAACTTTGAAAAGTAAAAAGGTAAAAGAGCTTGCCTTGCCACATATAAAAAACATAATTATTTATTTAAAAGTATATAATTGAAAATATATGTAAAGTCAAAACATTCAGGAGTTTTGTGGGTTGAATCGTGTCCTCCAAAAAGATATGTTCAATATTTCCTATGCTGTACTTTACATGTGTCAGATGGATACTAGACTTATTGGAGCGATCACTTTGTAAGGTATATAAATGTCTAATTACTATGTTGTACACCTGAAACTAATATAATATTGTATTCAATTATAATTGAAAAATAAATTTGAAAAAATGTTAAAAAAGTATGTTCAAGTTCTAATCCCTGATACCTATGAATGTGATCTTATTTGAAAATAGGGCCTTTGCAGATGTAATAATGTTAGGATGAGGTCCTACTGAAGTAAGGTAGGCCCTAATACAATGACTGGAGTCTTTATAAGAGGAAAATATGGACACAGACACACACAGGGAGAATGCCATGTGACAATAGAGGTAGAGATTGGAGTGATGTGTCTACAAGCCAAGGAATACCAAGGACTGCCCCACAAACAGCTGGAAGAAGCAAGGAAGGATCCTATCCCAGAGCCTTCAGGGAGAGCACGGCTGTCAACTCCTTAATTTCAAATTTCTAGTTTTCTGGACTGTGAGAGAATAAATTAGTTGTTTTAAGCCACCCAGTTGGTGGTACAGGTAGGGCAGCCCTAAGAAACTAATACAACGGGCATATGACAATTTTATATATGATAAAAGAAGGATCTCAAATGAGTGGGTTTTGTTTACTCAATAAGTAGAGATTAGGACAACAGGTTAGCTACTTGGAAAAAAAGATTTCTACTTCACAGAAGGTAACTAAAATTGTAAGTAGATCATAGATCCAAATGCAAAAACAAAATCATAAAAATGGTAGATGAAAATGTAAGAGAATATTTTTATAACCTTGGTGCAGGGAAAGATTTTTCTAACCAAAATATGAAACCCAGAAGCCACTCAAAAATGAAAACTTCTGTACATACACAATGAAAGACAATGTAATCAATGTTTAATAGGGAGAAAATATTTGCAAGATATATTAGAGACATGGAGTTAATATCCAGAATTATACACAGAGATCATACAGATCATAAGGAGACAAATAACCCAAAAGAAAATGAGACAAACATAAAAATATAAAAGCCAATAATGTATGAATACTCAATTTCACTAATAATCAAATGAGATGCAAAATGAAATGAGAAAGCATTATTTATTTAGTGTAGTTCAAATGAAAAATAATTCCTGATAATATCCAGTGCTGAATAGGGTTTGGTCCAACAGGCACTCAGTCAAATTTTTACAACCTTTTTGGTTTGGAGGCAATTTGGCAGTGTCTATTGAGATTTAAATATTCATATCCTTTGTTCCAGAACGTCCTTTTCTAAGACTATATCCTACCGAAACAGTTTACAAAAATAAATAGGGGGGAAAACTTAATTACATTAAGTATAGGACATACATAAAATAGAACACTATGCAAACACTTAAAAGAGGTAGATCTACATGTACTGTTATAAAAGATGTTCAAGACATTAAGTGAAAAGAACAAGTTATAGAATATATGTATTTTGTAACTATCAATATAATTGTGTTATGTACAGAACAAAAAGAAAATAATAACTGAGCTGCTAACATTGGTTACCTTGCAGGGGGAGACAATTTATTAATTCATTTATATAATATTTAATGAGTGTCTATTATGTACCAAACACTGGTCTAGGGGCTAGGGATTTAGGAGTGAACAACAACAACAACAACAAAAGATGAGGAGGTGGTGAACACTCATTTTCTATATTAAATATTTCTTTAAAGTTTGACTTTTATATTTTTTGTCTCTAATAAACCTATGGTTAATTTGATTTTTTAAAAAAGCTTTAAGGTACTAATGAAAAACTTTCAACAATATAAAATCGATTCATTTTGTCATTCTCTTAAAATCAGTCTTATCAGTTTTTAAAAATGTCACTGGCATATTCAACAATGCATTTTTGTAAAACTGATGTGAAAGCATCAACAAGTTTCTAACATAAAATCATTAATTTGCTCAGTTTAAAAATAAGAATACTTAAATTTTATGGTATCTGATTTATCTCTATCCCTTATGATGTAATATTTTACTTACAGTTTGTGGATTAATCTCTTCCTCTCCCATAGGTTCATCCATAATTTGCTGTCCATTCTGTGAAAAGCACAGCAGGTAGAAAGTTACCAAAACAGATCTCACGTCAGTTAAAATTAAATGAAAGCAGACAAAACAAAATCATATAGGAATGTTTTCACCTCTAAAGGGTTCTAATGAAGTACAGAACCACCATATAAGTATGCAGTTGCCAATTTGCAACAGGTTATGCTTCAACAGTTAATATGTAAATTGATTATTTTAAACTATAAAAACATTTTTCCATGGAAATGATATAATAAATGATTACCTTTCCAGGTGAGTCCTTGAGTTTATTTTAATAGTTAAAAGCATTACAAATGGTCTTATTTAAACCTTACCAAACATCATTTACAATACTTTCTATGGGAAAACACATTCTAAATTCCGACTCCATTAATAATTAATCAGGGCAACTGCTTAATTATTTCAGGGGAAAATTAAGCTAGAGCTCTACATCTAAATAGAATCCAGATGGATTAAACATTTAAATGTCAAAAAAATAAAATTATGCAAGTATTAGAAGAAAATATAGGTGAATAATACTTATGGGGTAAGGAGAGTGGAAATCATAAAGAAAAAAATTTGACATTTGAATCCACAAAATTTTAAAACTTCTGCCAGACACAAGAAAGTTAAAAGACAAATTGATTGCAAAAAAATAAAAGCAACATATGACAAAGGGTTGGTACCCTCGATACATAAAGAGCTTTGTTTTACAAACCTGTAAGAAAAAACGATGAACCTCAACAGAAATGAGCAATAAGGGAAAAAAGAGTTCAGCCTTAGTACTAATCAAAGAAATGCATTTAACCGAAAGATACCTTTGCCTTTCAAATTGGTAATGATTTACAGAAAAAAAAAAAAATAACACTCAGCGCTAACATGGGTATGGGAAAAAGAGCACTTAAGATATATACTGCTGGAGAAAGTGTAAATCAGCTCAACCTTTCGGGAAGGCAATCTAAGCCTGCATTAAAAAAAAAAAAAAGAAAACTTTGAAACGTCCCATAATTTCACTTCTTCTTTTAAAAACAATGAACAAGTGTGCAAAGATGTACATACAAGGATGCTCGCCATAATTTTTTACAAAAAGAATTCCAAATTGGAAATCTAAATTCCTAACAATAGGAAACTAATTAAATATATTTGTACATCCCTATTATGCAATATTATGCAGTCATTAAAAATGATGATAAAGATGTAAATTTATTGACATGGAAAGACAGTCACATGTAATAAGTGAAAAAGCATTTTACAAAACAATATGGATTGTAATGATCCCATTTTAAATAAATATATACATGTTTCAATGTATATATTTCTATGGGAAAAACTCTGCAAGGATAAACACCAAAATGTTAACAGTAGTTATCACTGGGTGGTAGAATTTTAGACAACTTAAAATTTTGTTTTGATTTTGCTATTTGAATTTTCTAATGTGTCTACAATGTCTACAATGAATATGTATCATTTGTGTAATTTAAAACAAAACAAAACCAAACCAGAAGTCAGGAACACATAGTATCTTCTCTAGTTCCCTCACTGGAAAAGGGAGTTAAATGCCCCTGACCACTTGTTAATTCAACAAATATACAAGGATCTAATTAAGCTACCCATCTCTGGAGCATTATCAGCTGAAAAATAAAAGGTATTCCACCCATTACCCCATATCCCACATGAGGCAACTGCTCTGAATTTGAACTCCTCTCTCTACTCTCCCCATTCCTATTTATCCATCCATTTGTCCAGTTACTCCATTTCATTCATGCTATGTTCTAGGCACCAAGCTGGAGACGAAAGGTTAGTAAAACATGGCCCCTATCCTAGAGGATCTCACAGGTCTACTAACCCATAGAAAGGGCACCTTTCATTTTAACACTTCAGAGTATGTTCCTAGGTTAGTGAATGCCTATACAATATTAACAAAGCGCAGAAATAGTGCCGAAATGCAGAAAAGGGGGAAACAAGTATAAAATCTTTATTTTTCTAAGACACATTCAGAGGCTATAGTATTGTCCACTTCCATGACAAGGACTCAAATAACTCCAGGGTACATCTTTCTCCTAAAAGCCACACAACTATCTGTTCAACTGAATACTGATCATTTTTATTCCAATCTCCCAGACAAACTTTAAACTAGCTCTTAAGAACACTGCCTTTGGAGTCAGACACCTAGATCAAAGTTCTTTTCTTTCACTAATTATGAAGCCTTGGACAAGTTATTTAAACTATGTAAGCTTTAGTTTCTTCATATGGAGTGGAGATCAAAGTCTTATCTTCAGAGAGTTGTTAAGACTAAATGAGATAAATGATATAAAACCCTAAGCACAGTGCCTGGCTTAGTGAACAATCAATGTTAGCTATTTTAATTATGTCCAAAATTCAATTCGATCACTCCCTCTGTGGCTCACCAATCTGCTACTTCTCATGTATTTGCTATCTTAGTAAATGGTACCATCATTCATCTAGTAACCCAAACTAGATTTTCTCATTAAGTGTACACAGAGTTCTCTCTATAACACAGATCTGCTCAATGGCTTTTATAATTCATAGTCTAACCTCAGCTACACTTACATTTTCCGCGGGAATATAATTTGAGAACCATCTGCTCCTCGCAATTTTCAGTGTATGTAAAGCAAGAATCACAACTTATAATTTACTTTTAAGGCAAACTGGTATAGTAGAAACAGCACTAAACTTGGAATTGGTGGACTAGGGATAGAGTCCTAGGTCTGCCACTTATAAGCTTTATGTTTTTGGGCAATTCAGTTTCTCCTATTCTATTACTTTATCTATTCAAAATAAGGATACTTGCCTCTAAAAACGATAAAGAGCTGTACAAATGCAAACTACTATTATTAAGGTGAGATAGCTTTGTAAGAATAAAATAATACTCCATAAAGTCCTTTTGATCTTAGAATCGAAAAAAAGTTTAAGATTGGTAAGGGATCGTGAAAGTCTTCTGTTCTAAATATACATCATATGCTTCAGTTCTTTCTATTCCATTCTCATCTATATTTGAATACTATCAGGACAGGAATGTATTACTTCAGCAGGCAGCCTGCTATACCATCACAAGAAAAACAATGGCTGCTAGATAAAATTCTTCATTATAAAATAACTTTCTTCAGCCACAAATTCCCTTTAAGAGGATTCCTAATATGTGATGACTAACTTGCCTGTACTATATCTGCAGAATCACAGGAAGTAAATCTACAGCTATGACTATAAACCACCCAAATCTGTTCTTTTTCTAGATAGCTCCAGTTCCTTTGAACATTCCTTTCAGACAGATGAGACTATCTTCTTTTCTGAGCATGCACCCAATTCATCTTAAAGGGCAGTATACAGAATTGCATGCAATTAACACCCCAACCTTGATATGACCAAAGCAAAGGGTATGTCACCTCCTTTGTCCCGGATAACAACTTATCAATGCAGTTCACAGATACATTATTTTTGGAATGTCCACAGCACATAAGTGAATTAAACTAAGTTTCCTATTCATAGTCTCATGAATAAAGCCTTATTTTAAATTTTTGTTTCATCTTTTTCCAGTTCTGATCCTCTATAGATTGGATTGCAAATCTGCCAGTCAGCCTCTTCACTATTTTCAGCTTCATGTGATCCATAAAGTTTACAATATATTTGCTTTTCTGAACTCCTCACCCAACTAATGGTAATATACTAACAAAGCAATCTAAGAAAAAATTAAGTGAAACACGATCTAAAGGTATTTCATGCTGTTTTTGCAAAACTATTTACTTCCTTTGAGTTTAGCAAAAATTTAAAATTTTGAACAATTTAATTTTAAAGCAGGAAAATATGAAAGCCCATGTTATCCTACATACCAGTGGAGATTTACAAAAATCTACCCAAAAAGCACCTTTACTTCAACAACCTTTTCAACAAAACAAAGATTCAGATGTTATCTATTACAAGTGAGCACAAAATTATTCCTGCAGCTAAGAAGTTTCTCTTTCAAACCTTTGGCTTCACTAGAGACTAGGTTACGTGGACCATCAGTCTGACTCAATATTTCAATGTCTATAGTTCCAAAAGTTCAAGGAATAGTAACTATTAAGCAAGAAAACTTATTTCTCTAATTTTAAGAAACAGAGAAAACATGTGGTCTGAATCTGGCTAGCACCAGGTTTAAAACCCAGGTCTGTCGCTTATTGCTGTAGATACCTGACCTTAGGTAAGCTAGAGTTTGAGTCTCAGTTTCTTCATTTGTAATATGCATATAATATCTATCTCCCAGGGATGTTGTAATTAAAAGAATCCACCAAGGGCCAGTAGATGCTCAGTAAATGTTACTTACTCGTGCCCCCTTTTGCCTCAATTGACTTATAACATTTACATTTCTACAGTTAACCTCTAAATGTAATAAAGTACAGGAGAGTGTTGAGATAACCTGTTTCACCACTTACTACAGCCAATTTCCTGTCAAGCAGGGTAGAACAGATCATTCACATGTGTGGTATATTTTTATACAATGTGGCTAAAGAATGAGTACAGACAAAAAAAGAATAGTTTAAAAGAGAGGCAAATGTATTTATCCTCTCTCATCCCACCATAATGCCTTCTAGCCAAAAAACTGTAGAGCTTGGCAGGTTGTACATATGCAAATATTATGTGAAATACTGGAAAAGGTTAGAAAATGCTAATCATGCTTTACTCTGTTAGTCTGAAATGTGTAAAAGTCAAAAATTAGATAACGTACAACATGGGTCTCA